CTAAAACAGTCCATGTGTGCGTCCAATATTAAATACTGGTCAAGTTTTGTCTCCAATCATTTTAATTTAATGTGTATGATTTTCGAACATGTGTGACTTAATTAGTTTTTGTGTACAAATAAAATTATACTGGTAGGATTTGAATATCGTTTTAAGGTAAATAAAAATTACCTTATTGCAGTTTAACTTCCCAGCATAATTTTATTAGTCTCAAAAATTGTTCATTTTTTTGTCACTTTTGAATACTAATACGCAAATAAATAAGACACAATGTATTAGTACAATGTATAGTGGCATCATCAAAATCTATCAAAATTGGGCACTAACAATAACCACCACTGTAAGGATTGTTATTTATTAAGAAATGACATATTAGAATTGTAAATCAAAACCATCTATAAGTACAATTTTTTACCTAATGTCAGTTTCCAATATTAAGAATTGCTCAAAATAATTGTAGCTAAGATATAATTGATTAAGGAATTTTAAGAAACACCTTCCTTACAAAAATTGTAACAACTTTCTAAGTGATATAATCCTAGAAGATTGAAACTCAGTTCAAAATATTATATGTAGTGTGACATAGAAGAATGATTTACCTCAAAATTGGATTGAGACTATTTGGAGTATACTTAGTCACATAACTCCATGTAGATTTCCGTGGATAAGTTATCATCTTTTTGAGAAACTTCATGATTTCGAAGAAGAATGAGATATGGAAAAGAAACGGAAGAGGAAGGTAGAATGCTGCCAAATTAAACAATCGGAACTCAGTTATGTAGAAAATCCTTCTGTCCAGAATGATGTCATTCTGTCAAATCCAAAAAAGCCAAAAATCCCGCTAGAGATCAAACCTAGATTGCGAAAATATCTTTTGGCGATCTGCCCAGGGAAGCGGTATAGAGTTCCATCCCTGCTGCGACAATCTCCCTCCCACTCCAAGTGGTGTTTCCTTCCCCCAAGCGACACCAAAACGACGCCAAGAGGATGCTCCAAAATGCGATTTTCCACCTCACCGAGCATTAATTGAGCATAAAGGGGGGAGATGCAACTATGCCAAATTGAGCAGGAGCGTCGGAGAATACCATTGTGTAAACGGAAGGATTCCGTCACTCCTTTGGGGCATATGATTTAGGGGTGAAACAGGCACGGGTACTACATTATTATGCATTCCGTGCAATGTTTCAATGCAAAAGGAGACACCAACACTTTTTCTAAGACTATTATACCCCTAATATTATTCATGTTTATATAATTGTAGAGAATTTTGTGATTTTGAAGTTTAGTGAAGCATGAGTCCAAGCAGAGAGTAAAGTATAGTTTCGCACTTTCTCTTTTGCTAGATAGCTCATGAATGCTCAATGGAAGTATTTCTCTACTTTGGATGCTCAAAGCTTGGTTAGAAACTTTCATTTCAACTTATATTTATAGGCTTCTCATTTGGATTAATCTCATCCGTTGGTTAGGATGATTTAAGCACTGGCGTTGAAAATCTGACAAGGATGAATTGTAATTCGTCTTCTTGTGCTGGAGCTTTTAATGAGGTTGTCTTCAATTAGTATAGCCGCTGGAGTATCTTCTCTAAAACAGTCCATGTGTGCGTCCAGTATTAAATACTGGTCAAGTTTTGTCTCCATTCATTTTAATTTAATGTGTATGATTTTCGAACATGTGTGACTTAATTAATTTTTATGTACAAATAAAATTATACTGGTAAGATTTAATTATCCTTTTAAGGTAAATAAAAATTACCTTATTGCATTTTAACTTCCCAGCATAATTTTATTAGTCTCAAAAATTGTACATTTATTTTGTCACTTTTGAATACTAATACGCAAATAAATAAGACACAATGTATTAGTGCAATGTATAGTGGCATCATCAAAATCTATCAAAATTGGGCACTAACAATAACCACCACTGTAAGGATTGTTATTTATTAAGAAATGACATATTAGAATAATTGTAAATCAAAACCATCTATAAGAACAATTTTTTACCTAATGTCAGTTTCCAATATTAAGAATTGCTCAAAATAATTGTAGCTAAGATATAATTGATTAAGGAATTTTAAGAAACACCTTCCTTACAAAAATTGTAACAATTTTCTAAGTGATATAATCCTAGAAGATTGAAACTCAGTTCAAAATAGTATATGTAGTGTGACATAGAAGATTGATTTACCTCAAAATTGGATTGAGACTATTTGGAGTATACCTAGTCACATAACTCCATGTAGATTTCCGTGGATAAGTTATCATCTTTTTGAGAAACTTCATGATTTTGAAGAAGAATGAGATATGGAAAAGAAACGGAAGAGGAAGGTAGAATGATGCCAAACAATTGGAACTCGGTTATGTAGAAAATCCTTCTGTCCAGAATGATGTCATTCTGTCAAATCTAAAAAAGCCAAAAATCCCGCTAGAGATCAAACCTAGATTGCGAAAATATCTTTTGGCGATCTGCCCAGGGAAGCGGTATAGAGTTCCATCCTTGCTGCGACAATCTCCCTCCCACTCCAAGTGGTGTTTCCTTCCCCCAAGCGACACCAAAACGACGCCAAGAGGATGCTCCAAATATGCAATTTTCCACCTCACCGAGCATTAATTGAGCATAAAGGGGGAGATGCAACTATGCCAAATTGAGCAGGAGCGTCGGCGAATACCATTGTGTAAACGGAAGGATTCCGTCACTCCTTTGGGGCATATGATTTAGGGGTGAAACAGGCACGTGTACTACATTATTATGCATTCCGTGCAATGTTTCAATGCAAAAGGAGACACCAACAGTTTTTCTAAGACCATTATACCCCTAATATTATTCATGCTTATATAATTGTAGAGAAATTTGTGACTTTGAAGTTTAGTGAAGCATGAGTCCAAAGAGAGAGTAAAGTATAGTTTCACACTTTCTCTTTTGCTAGATAGCTCGTGAATGCTCAATGGAAGTATTTCTCTACTTTGGATGCTCAAAGTTTGGTTAGAAACTTTCGTTTCAGCTTATATTTATAGGCTTCTCATTTGGATTAATCTCATCCGTTGGTTAGGATGATTTAAGCACTGGCGTTGAAAATCTGGCAAGGACGAATTGTACATTCGTCTTCTTGTGCTGGAGCTTTTAATGAGGATGTCTTCAATTACTATAGCCGCTGGAGTATCTTCTCTAAAACAGTCCATGTGTGCGTCCAGTATTAAATACTGGTCAAGTTTTGTCTCCAATCATTTTAATTTAATGTGTATGATTTTCGAACATGTGTGACTTAATTAATTTTTATGTATAAATAAAATTATACTGGTAGGATTTAAATATCCTTTTAAGGTAAATAAAAATTACCTTATTGCATTTTAACTTCCCAGCATAATTTTATTAGTCTCAAAAATTGTACATTTATTTTGTCACTTTTGAATACTAATACGCAAATAAATAAGACACAATGTATTAGTGCAATGTATAGTGGCATCATCAAAATCTATCAAAATTGGGCACTAACAATAACCACCACTGTAAGGATTGTTATTTATTAAGAAATGACATATTAGAATTGTAAATCAAAACCATCTATAAGAACAATTTTTTACCTAATGTCAGTTTCCAATATTAAGAATTGCTCAAAATAATTGTAGCTAAAATATAATTGATTAAGGAATTTTACGAAACACCTTCCTTACAAAAATTGTAACAACTTTCTATGTGATATAATCCTAGAAGATTGAAACTCAGTTCAAAATATTATATGTAGTGTGACATAGAAGAATGATTTACCTCAAAATTGGATTGAGACTATTTGGAGTATACCTAGTCACATAACTCCATGTAGATTTCTGTGGATAAGTTATCATCTTTTTGAGAAACTTCATGATTTCGAAGAAGAATGAGATATGGAAAAGAAACGGAAGAGGAAGGTAGAATGCTGCCCCAAACAATCGGAACTCAGTTATGTTGAAAATCCTTCTGTCCAGAATGATGTCATTCTGTCAAATCCAAAAAAGCCAAAAATCCCGCTAGAGATCAAACCTAGATTGCGAAAATATCTTTTGGCGATCTGCCCAGGGAAGCGGTATAGAGTTCCATCCTTGCTGCGACAATCTCCCTCCCACTCCAAGTGGTGTTTCCTTCCCCCAAGCGACACCAAAACGACGCCAAGAGGATGCTCCAAATATGCGATTTTCCACCTCACCGAGCATTAATTGAGCATAAAGGGAGGAGATGCAACTATGCCAAATTGAACAGGAGCGTCGGAGAATACCATTGTGTAAACGGAAGGATTCCGTCACTCCTTTGGGGCATATGATTTAGGGGTGAAACAGGCACGGGTACTACATTATTATGCATTCCGTGCAATGTTTCTATGCAAAAGGAGACACCAACACTTTTTCTAAGACCATTATACACCTAACATTATTCATGCTTATATAATTGTAGAGATAGAGATTCATGCTTATATAATTGTAGAGATATCACTCTCATTTCTTTTCTAAAGAGTTCATTCGGATTGAAGAATGCTTAAAGGTATGTCCGCATGTTATCTATATTTTCTTTCCGTATATCACAGAAAATTTATTTAAAACATAGAATAATTTTCAGGTTTGAACACAAAAAGAAGATAATAAATATTAATGCTAATACCTGGAGGAGATGATGATTTCTTGAAGACTTTTAGCAAATTCGTGCTGATATGAAAACTAAATTTATGAAATAGATATATAGATAAAAACCTTTGAATATTTTACTTCTTCTTAATATGACAATTTCTGAGTTTCTGAGTGAGTTTACAATGAATGTAACAGACCCTATTTATACTAGCCAAGCTTAGGAATGAATCATCTAGAAATGATTCTACATAATTTGCTGACAGTATTGAATCTAGCGATGTGTGTGATTACAAGAACTTATATTTGTTTAGTGTCCTGATTATAAAGATGAACATTCACATTTGTGATTTTGGTGATTTTAGAATTCACCTTACATTTTTTCAAGTCTTACCAAATCTTATTAGTGGAGGGACCGCTACTATTCATTTGTTCCCGAAGCTTCATTGGCACAAACAATTGGCATCCTCCTAGAATGATTTCTAATTTTCTTCTCAGAACCAGTTCTGATAAGCTGATCTCTCATCCACCAGAACTTGACAACTATGTCGTGTTTGGCATCTTGCTTTGCTTCTTTGACCTGCGGTCTTTGCACCTCGGTGGCGTCTGGGATCAGCAGCCGCTCTGCTAGGCTCGGCTACTGTCTCATCTTCGGATTCTCCTTGGTTGTGTCTTGGCTTCTACGAGAATTCGCGGCTCCCGTCCTCAAGAATTTCTCATGTTCGTATCTTTATTTCACTTTTCCTTCCAATCCCCCCTGATTGTTCATTTGAGTAGTTAATGAATTAGGGATTTCAGCTCCTAGTATAAATATCCTAGTTGGATTTTTAGTCAAATTGATTATCCAAGGTCATGGATTGGACTTCACGTTTGGCATAACGATCCTAACCTAAGAAATTAATCACCTTAAGTATTTCCAGGTTCAACTTTTATCTCTCTTGCTTGTTGAATTAAGCTCTCTTTGGTATTACACTTCCTCTTATATTGCTTATCATTTGACTAAGCAGCACAAAAAACTGAAATGAGAACTGTGAAACGGGAAAGGGGAGAAATGTAATTTCTAAAATATATATGATACGAAACTCGGGGAAACGAGTAAATATAAAAAATATAAGGATATATTTGTAAGTATTTTTTCATATATGCACATAAGTTTTTCGTTTATATATACTTCCTCCGTCCGTTAAAATTCTTCTTTTTTTTGAAAGTTTTGTGTGACTATCATTCATTTACTTTTTTCTTACTTAACCACAAACATATATTTCCACTTTATTCTAACTTTCTTAAACTCCGATCAGAGACCACGACTATTCATTTAAACGTTAATTTTTAAATAAAATAAACAATTAATTAGGCTACGATGTAATGGGTAAAAACTTTCTCAAATTAGGGTACGATCAGAGACCACTGCTATTCTTTTAAACGTTATTTCCCAAATTAGGGTACTTTCAAAAAGTTAGATCTTATTAAAACTTTTATGGGACGGAGGAAGTATGTGTGTATATATAAGTGTGTGCGTGCACATATTTTTTTTCATAAACCTTTCATATACTCCCTCCGTCCCAATTTGTAAGACACTTTACGGTTTACGATGTTTGACCGACGATAAAGCAAATTGATCCCTGTCAACACTCAAATTAGTTTTAGAAAACAAAATTTACATATTCAGAAACTACATTAAAACCGCTACAAAAACTGTATAAAATAATTCAAATTTCATAAACTTTTGATTTATAAAGTAAAAGATTAAGAGTGATTTATGTTGACCAAGTGAATAGTAAATATATCTTACAATTTGGGATTGAGGGAGTAACTTGTTTAATGACCCAATAATAAAAACATTTTACATGCTCAAATTTAGAAATCATTACATATTAGTACATAATTAAACATAAAATGCAATACATTTCTAAAAGTGCATGGTGTTATGAAACGTCACAATGTTGCCAATAAGAAATACCACAATAATTATCTAAAGTTTTTTTTGAAAAGACGCTATTTTCCATCAAAGAATCTCAAAAATTCAAAAGAAATGGACAAAAGGTTTCCGACGCTAATTATTTATGGAAATGGGTTTCCCAATTCTTCTTAATTATGGAAACGTCCCTAAAACATGAATTCATAGTTTCCGAGTTTCCTACATGTTTCTGAGTTTCTGAAACGGGAAAACGTGAGGCAAAGAGAGTTTCCGTGCTTTTCCGTGCTTCAAATTTTCAATCGATCAGTCAGAAAATAAACTTATTTACTTACTGAAGTTTTCTGAATATTATTTCCTTGAATTCATTTACAAGAAGTACATAAGCTATTTATACAGATAGGAATCCTGAGAGAGTCTATTCAGCACCTTAGGTGACTGTCTAAATACTAAACATAAATGATTGAGAACTGAAAAGACAGCAGCTATTAAATACAACCTGAAGCACTAAAGATACATAATTACAGTAATAATAAGGAAAATAAATCCTAGATTAATGATGTCTCTTCGTTTTATCAACACTCCCCCTCAAGCTAGGTTTGTAGATATTCGTCATGCCTAGCTTGACAATAAGACCCTGGAACCTAGGACTGTGCAGAGGTTTGGTAAACACATCTGCAACTTGATCTTCTGAGGGAGTGTAGCTTAGTTCGATCAGACCTCCTTCAACCTTTTCTTTGATAAAGTGCCTATCAATCTCAATATGCTTGGTCCGATCATGTTGGACTGGATTATGAGCTATGTTGATTGCTGATTTGTTATCACACCTCAATTCCATTGGTCCTTTCCACTTGATTCGTAAATCTAAGAGAATAATTCTGATCCATAGAAGTTCACATAAGCCATGGGCAAGAGCTCTTAGCTCAGATTCAGCAGATGATCGTGCCACAACATTCTGTTTTTTGCTTCTCCATGTCACGAGGTTTCCTGCTAGGAAAACACAGAGACCAGTAGTTGACCGGCGGTCAACGAGGGAGCCACCATAATCTGCATCAGTGAAGGCTTGGACTGATAATTGCCCACCCTTCCTGAATATTATCCCTTGCCCTGGACTTCCTTTTAGGTAGTGAAGAACCCTATATGCTGCTTCTAGATGTGGTTTCCTTGGATCATGCATGAACTGACTCAAAACACTAACTGCATAGGCAATGTCAGGTCTAGTATGAGAGAGATAGATAAGTTTGCCACACAAGCGCTGATACATTGATGAATCAACCTTGGGTTCATCAGTAGCAAGTCCAAGCTTGTGATTAGGATCCATAGGTGCATTAACCGGTCGACAAGCACTCTTACCGGTCTCATTTAACAAATCTGTAATGTACTTTTGTTGGCTGATAAAGATGCCTTCAGATGAGCGAGCAACTTCAATTCCAAGAAAGTATTTTAGAGGGCCAAGAGACTTCATCTCGAATTTGGATTTCAGCTGCCCCTCAAGACGTTGTTTCTCAACTGGATCATTACCCGTCACAATGATGTCATCCACATATACTCAAAGAATAGTGACTCCATTTGGGCGAGAGTGTTTGTAAAAAAGAGTATGATCCCCTTGGCTTTGACTATACCCAGCAGCAAGAACAACCTGTGTGAAGCGGTCAAACCAAGCACGAGGGGATTGCTTGAGACCATAGAGGGCTTTTTTTAAATGACATACATGTGTAGAGGTTCTTGTTGATGTTTTATTAAAGCCTGGGGGAATGTACATGTAGATCTCATCATGCAAGTCACCGTGGAGAAAAGCATTCTTGACATCAAATTGCAATAAAGGCCAATCAAAGTGAGATGCCAAGGATAGTAGGATACAGACAGTATTGAGCTTAGCTACAGGAGCAAAGGTCTCTTGATAGTCAATCCCATACGTCTGAGTGTATCCTTTAGCCACAAGACGAGCTTTGTACCGCTCAAGAGATCCATCAGCCTTGTATTTGACAGTAAAGATCCACCTGCAACCAACAACATGCCTCCCAGGAGGTTTAGTCACAATATCCCAAGTATGGTTCTTTTCAAGAGCTCTAATTTCCTCTTGCATAGCATCCCTCCATTCTTTCTTTCCTAATGCCTCAGAAACAGAGTTGGGTATGGGAATTTCATCAAGTCTCTGAACAAACAAGGCATGTGAAGGAGAGAAGTTATCAATGGTAACAAAATTAGCAAGAGGGTATAGAGGTGTTTTGGTACATTGACGTACACCCTTGCGTAAAGCAATTGGCGGAGATGGTGGTGGAGAAGAAGAGACATTACCTGGGTCATGCGTCAACAATGGAGTGAACTTGTTTTTCCTTGAGTACACTTTTGTCACTGGTAGAGGAGAAGATGGGTCATGAGTGGTGGATTTAGTAGGTGTAGGAATGGGATGGTCTGGTGGTGTATTTGATTGAGGTTCAGGTGATGTTGAAGACTGTTGGGAAGTAGGTGAGGTTGCTGACACATCTAAGGAAGGTGATGGATGATCATGTGGTGGTGGTGGTGATGGGATGTCTGGTGATAAAGGCTTAGGAGGGTAGGAGATTGTATGTGGTGGAGAAGATGTAATAGTATAGGTGGGCAGAGGTGAAGGATGTGGAGTATCTTGGGATACAGGGAGAGAAGTAGGAGTGTAAAAAGGTGTGTCTTCGTGAAAGGTCACATCTGCACTGGTGTATGTCTTTCTGGTTGTAGGATTATAGCACTTATATCCTTTCTGAGTTGGAGAATAACCAAGAAAGATACACTTAATAGATCGTGGGTCCAATTTTCCCCTATGAGGTGGAGGAATATGAACAAATGCAGTACACCCCATAACAACAGAGTAGGACTGCTGTATGAAATCCCAGATTTCTTTAGCCGAGTCCATGTATAAACATGTACTGCTAATGTTGGGATCCATAGAGTCCCATAACCAGACCCGTACGTTGGCATTAGTTTTCTCCCAAATAGCAGCATCAATCTCTCCTTCTTCTGGGGTAGAGACACAGTGAGATAATCTTCAAGATCTTTGCCACGTAGAAGAGTGTAAACCAGCTTTGACCACCCAAGATAGTTCCTGCCATTGAGACGGTAAGATGGCGGGATAGAAGGGAGATCAAATTTCTGGTTTCGAAGAGCAAACGCGGTTGCAGTAGCAGCTGAAACAATGATTGAGTGATCAAGATTACTTGAGGCTGATTCGGCTTCTTTAGACATGATAAAACCCTTGATGAAGAGACTCCACCGGGAGTTAAAGAGAGAGAAGGGTAGAGACACCCAAAAAATGACCGTTGGAGAGGTGATAGACTGACTCAAAAAAGGCTTAGACGAAACCAAGCTCTGATACCATGAAGTTTTCTGAATATTATTTCCTTGAATTCATTTACATGAAGTACATAAGCTATTTATACAGATAGGAATCCTGAGAGAGTCTATTCAGCACCCTAGGTGACTGTCTAAATACTAAACATAAATGATTGAGAACTGAAAAGACAGCAGCTATTAAATACAACCTGAAACACTAAAGATACATAATTACAGTAATAATAAGGAAAATAAATCCTAGATTAATGATGTCTCTTCGTTTTATCAACACTTACCTATTTGGATGAAATGGTGTTATCAAACTTTTTTCTCTTTCGAAATTTTGGCGGATTTAGTCTAACAACAACATCGAAACCTTATTCCCAAAAGATTTTGGAGTCGGCCAACATGAAACGATCCATGATATCACAGCCAAAAAGATAAGAAAGATAAGAGGAATAAAAAGATAAAGTACAATAAAATGGATAATGTTTTTTTATACGGGCCGCACGAACACAGGCCTCCACTACCACAAATTATGATGTAGGCTCCACCACTTGGGTAGACCTTAAGATGACACTCTTCCAAAGTGGAAGGAAGTCATCAACCTAGGCTATAGGCCTTCTTGATCGCCCATCAACCTCGTCCAGGTAAGTATAATATAAAAATATAAAGATAAATATAAGATAAAAATAACATGAGAATGTAAACAAGATAAAAGATAAAAAGATAAAAGAACATAAGGAAGATAAAAGATAAAAAAATAACATGCAAAGATAAAGAAGATAAAAGATAAAAAAAGAAAAAAGAGATAAAAGAAAGAAAAGAGGCCAATCGTCCACACAAATATGCGTGTTTTACATCTCTCCAAAGTCATACTCTCATCCAACCCAAAGAGAAGCATATCAGTTTTGATTCATCTAATCCATGTTTGTTTGAGTCTTCCTCTCCATCTCCTCCCCGCCTCTTCTTCGCACCTCTGAAGTTGTCTAACAAGTGTATCTCTCGATCTTATGCACACATGACTTATCTTCTATAAGTGCTACTTCCCCCTCTTTTGGCTGATTTAGTCATTTCATCATTTTCATTTACCCCAGTGCCACAAAGGCTCCCACCTACGGTGGGGTAGGGGGGGGGGGTCGGATGTATGCAGTCTTACCCCTGCACTAAAGCACAGAGAGATCGTTTCCGGATGACCCATAGTGAAAATCGCGTCCAAAAATGCATGGACTGACCGCTGCTTCATAACAAAGAAGCGCAGACAGTTTAGTGAGCCATTTTGCTTTATTCCATCATAATCTCAAGCCAAAAAATAATGAATCTTTGGCTCCATTGCAAATGATGGAAAATTTTGGCTGATTTAGTCATTTCAACTAAATTAACTTTTAACAAGTGGCATAAGTTGTATTATTTTAGCTGGATGTTAAGTCAAATTAAATGTCAACTGTCAAGTATTTTGTCCTACACAGCTTTGTCCAATATAATACTCTATAAATAAACATGTGAGATTTTGGGCTACTCCTATGAGGTTAAACTTACAAGCTTATGGATCAGATTTCATATTTTACTAAAAACCTCCTGAAATTTATTTGTTATTTTTCACTATATTGTCCGAGATAAGGTAGTATTTTTTATAATCTATTGGTTGAAATTTGCAGGGATAAACAATTCACAAAATCACCATGATGAATGGTATCAAATGCAAGCAGTGCTTCGCGTTAGCTTGGGGAACTTTGTGTTTTTTGGATTTCTTTCTCTCCTTATGATTGGGGTGAAATATCAAAATGATAGGCGTGATTCCTTGCATCATGGTGGATGGGTTTTAAAGTTTGCTGTTTGGGTTGTGCTCCTCATTCTCATGTTTTTCCTCCCAAACACCGTCATTAATATTTACGGTCAGTTATGAGTTTATTTGTGAGACCCTTTCATCATTCCATAGCGATGTATCGTCTCACTAGGCCAGATCCATTGGGTAACATTTTGGGCATTGGTTCCACAATCATTGCATGTATTTATGTAAAATTTGGCATAAGAAGTGGTCTTGAAGCCAAAAAAGGTGTTCACTTAGACACACTCATTCACCACTATAAGTAATACAATACGTAATTACGACTTCATTGACTTGAGATTCCTTCCCAAAAGCTCAATCATATAGGAGCCAAGGAGTAACCCACAACCTTATATATATTGTATTTTATGTATGTTCAACAAGTGGGGCATAATGAAAAAATGATCCTATACTGCTATACCATTTAATGTGTTTTCTACTTTTGTTTACATCGTAAGAGTTTTATGTTGGGTAGTCATTATTAATCAAACACAAAAAATGAGGATTCCGGCTTACATATGCTCATTCTTTCTCTCTTTGCAGCAATCATTTCAAAGTTTGGTGCCGGACTATTTCTTGTCATTCAAGTAATACTTTTATTGGATGCCACACTCTCATGGAATGATGCATGGGTAGCCAAAGATGAGCAGAAGTGGTCAGTTAGTTTGAGTTTTGTCTTCATTTTATTAATAATCACTATCACAATATGTTATTAATCAATAATATTGTACCATGCAAGATACTTCCACAGGTATATCGCTTTACTAGTTGTATCTGTTGCATGCTACCTAGCAACATATGCCTTTTCGGGCATTCTATTTATTTGGTTCAATCCTTCTGGGAATGACTGTGGATTGAATGTATTCTTCATAGTTATGACCATGATTCTTGCGTTTGTGTTTGCTGTCATCGCCTTGCACCCAAGGGTAAGAAACGCTTTTGTTTTAGCTACATTTTCTTCATGACTAACCACATTAAAAATATTGGGTACCAACTACCAAGGGTAAAGTGAACAAAATGGGAGCAAGGTTAGGGTTATTTGTGTTCTATTTGTTCGTAAGTTTGATCTCAATGCATATGTGTTTTACTGCACTTTTTCGTAACTTCTGTACGATCTATTTCCCTTATTATTTCCCTTGCACCCAAGGGTAAGAAACGCTTTTGTTTTAGCTACATTTTCTTCATGACTAACCACATTAAAAATATTGGGTACCAACTACCAAGGGTAAAGTGAACAAAATGGGAGCAAGGTTAGGGTTATTTGTGTTCTATTTGTTCGTAAGTTTGATCTCAATGCATATGTGTTTTACTGCACTTTTTCGTAACTTCTGTACGATCTATTTCCCTTATTATTTTGACTTTAAAATTGTGATGATCAGGTAAATGGAAGCCTGTTGCCTGCCTCTGTGATATCTATGTACTGTGCTTATCTGTGCTACACGGGTCTTTCTAGTGAACCTAGAGATTATGTGTGCAATGGCCTCCCGAACAAATCAAAAGCAGTTACCATTAGTACCCTAATTCTTGGGATGCTTACAACTGTTCTCTCAGTTTTGTATTCTGCACTTCGTACTGGCTCTTCAACTGCTTTTCTCTCACCACCATCTTCTCCGAAATCAGGCATGAAATTTCACCTAATCCTCATTTATTGAATGAATATGTTTGTGGGATCCCTAGGCTTTAGAGTATGGATGTGTTTTCCTTTGCTTTTGGAACCACTTTTATGTTCTTTTTCCTTTAATAAAAGCTAAAAGTAATCTTTATGTAGGTGATTTTGATTAACCTCAAGGCTCAAGAACAAGTAAGGAGAATGGTTTCTAAAAATGCTTTTTTTTCTAAACTGAAATAATATGCTAAAATTAACTTTTTACCACACACTCGTAGTTCTATCTTTTTAAAGTAATTTCAAACACTACCGGCTTCACTATTAAACATTCTCTTTATAATCAGTAAAGTAAATCAGTTTAAAAGCATAAGCAAACACCAATAAATGTGCCTTAGTCCCTATGTCTGCATCAAATGTAGCCAAACTTGATAATATTTCTGTGGCTTAAATATGTTTTTCTCCTATGCAATAAAATGTGTTAGGGTAGTTTCTTTAGTTGAATGCGAAGATAAATTGCCATTCATCCTCGTAATTTACATCTCCCCCTCCATCAATCTCCTTAATAAATACATAGTATTAAGGTGGCTCAAAGAAATCCATCCTCAGCTTTTCATATAGTATTTTTGGTAGATTTCTCAAGGACTCAACATGAGACTTCGGCTTTGCAGTAGCATTTTTTGCCTTGGTCCTAATAAAGTTCATATTTATGTCTTTCTAAAATTGCTTGGAAAGCCCATGCTGGTAAGTATTTTGTGAACCTTGTCAATTTTTTTAACGGATGTGAATTGATATGGATTGTAAGGAAAATGTTATCAATTAAAGGGATAGATAACAAAAATAATCAGAGACCCTAGAAATAAAATGCTATATTTCGAAGGTCAGAAGGTATAGTTCAGCCTTTTATTTTTCAATGTTGCAGTGATTTAATGGATATTTGATCTAAAATTTGTGGTTATTACTACTGTAGATAAGAGACCTCTTCTTGGAACTGAGGAAGATGTGGAGTCTGGTGGTAAAGGCAAAGGAGGAGAAACAGAAGCACGACCGGTGAGTTACTCGTATTCATTCTTCCATCTCATATTCACACTGGCCAGCATGTATTCCGCCATGCTTCTGTCCGGGTGGACGAGCAGTTCAGAGAGCTCTGAACTTATAGACGTGGGTTGGACCTCGGTTTGGGTTCGTATATGCACCCAGTGGGTCACTGCTGCTTTATACATTTGGTCACTCACCGCTCCTCTCATCTTCCCTGATCGTGAATTCTACTGAATCTGGTTCAGTTCATGTGTTAGATGGATTCACAGTATTAGACTATTATTCCATCTCTCCTGTTAATATGTGTGGATGTTCATAATGATTTACCTGGGACAAATTTAGTGGCTAAGCAGGGTGGTGCTTCTATGTGTTTTATCTTTTCCTTGGTGTATGCGGGAAACTGCTCATATCAAATAGTGCGAGTTTGTGACAGATGATATATGTGTAACTTATAATAAGAGGTTGCTTGACAAATGTTGTGGCTTATGAAGTTTTTGTTGGTTACTAAGATTTGTTTTGACAAAATCTATTATTAATTTTCACTTTAGTTAATTATTATCTTTTCACAAGATAATAGCAGTTTTCCCTTCGTCAATATTACTAAAGTAAAATTTAAGGATGTGACTAAATTTGCTACAACGCAATGTTTGCGTTTACTTGTTCTCCTCAAAAGTAATTTATTTAAGATATTATTGATAAAATGATTTATAGTAAAAGTAGGTAGTGTCACTGCCTGGAGGGAGGGCAAAGGGGCTCAAGCCCAGGGCCCATACTATATATGGGCCCCATAATTTATACGTATTTATTGTTATTATAGAAATTAGTTCAAATAGGACTAAAATTATGGCAAAAACCTAAAATAGGATTTGCTATGTTTTTATTCCAAAATAGGACCATATGAATCCTATTGGAAACATACCTATTTTTGCATTCCATTCTTACCCTTCCATTAAATATGAATTAAAAATAGTCAAAAGTCATAATTAAATGTTTAATTCATAATAAATTCGAAAAAAATTCAAAAATTCGTTGAAATATAATTAAAAAATTTATAAAATTTTTATAAAATAAAAAATTCAAAAACTTTTTTTTTAAAATAATTTTATTTTTAAAAAAATTAATAAAAAATAGTAAAACTCCGTAAAAAAAATTTAAAAAAATATGGATGCCTTTCCCACCGCCTGTACTACCTCCCAGCACCACCACCTCTGGCCGATGAAAAAAAATGTCATTTTTCCAGAAAAATGTCATTTTTTTCTGAAAATGCCAAAAAAGTGTCATATTTCTCTTTTCGAATGTCAATATTTTCATTTTTTTCTGCCATAAATATGGCATTCGTAATGATTTGGCATTTTTTTCCTCTGGTGATTAGAGGTGGTGGTGCTGAGGCGGCAGAGGCGGCGGTGATTTTTTTTTGAGTTTTTTTTTTTTAATTTTTTTTTAATTTTTTTAATTTTTTGAAAAAATATTAATTAAATCCTTAATATCGAAATGTTTTTCTTATTTTTTTAGTATTTTTTACGAATTTTTATTATTTTTTATTATTTTATTAGGAATTACAACATTTTAATAGTTATAAGGGTATAATTGTCCAAGGTACACATAATTAGTCCTATGCAAACATAGTTTATTTTTTGGTCCTATTTGTGAAAAGTGAATGACTTTTAGTCCTATTTTGATAATTAACTCTTGTTATTATTATTAAATAAATTATACGGAGTAAAGATTAAGGAAATGGTAATTGGTAAGTAGCTTTGCCTCTTCCCATTCTCTTATCCTTCTCTTGCCTGGAAAATTTAAAACTTCAATTTCCCATTTAAAGGGTAATCTTCTCTTCTCTATTATATTTGACTTTGGCACTTTGCATTTGTTAAGATTGACTTTGATAGTGTAGTAGATGACTTTGGCACTTTGCATCTAAGAATATTAGAAGAAATTGGTTTTTGTGAACTACGGAGTATTAGTTTTAGGAAGGAGGTTGATCTTATTTAATTTAATGAATTTATTATTAATAGTAAATATCTCTTGTTCTACATCTTTCTAATATTAACTATTAAGGGCCTTTTTCTAAACATGTCCCGAGTCTCTAAAATGTCAGGACCAGGCCTAGGTAGTGTTTGTGAATAGATTTGATTTTAATTAAAAAGAAATTTTAAATGTTTGGTAAAAAAGTGATTGGTTATGAGCCTATCAGCCAAATTTTGGTTGATTTGACTAACATTGATCTTTTGACGGGATCAATCAGCTAAGAGAAATATTTGGTTAAATAACTTTTTCATTTGGCTTTTTATATCAAATAGTTAAAATATGAAATGCCATAGAATGTCATAGAATGTAGCGTTTACACATTGCTCTTCCTTATTTTCCCTTTACTACCCACGCAGCCCATGCTCCTTAATTCCCTATCTACCTTCTCCAAGTCTCTTACACATCAAAGAGAAAAACCACTCCCACTATATTCAACTTTCTACGAAAGAAAAAAACAACACTGCAGGAATCATGCATGCATTTAATAAAACTCAATATTCTTTTCTATCTTTTTTTAGTAATATGAAGAAGGTTCAAGTTTTGTGCATTATCAAAATATACTTTGTACTTTTTATCTCAAAATAACAACAATAACAACAATAATAATAAAAATTATAATAATAACAACAATATTATTATTATTACTAATATTATTATTATTATCGAAGCTATTTTTTTATGTTCTTAATAGTTATATGCAACAAGTTATCAGCTGATTGTAAACAGTCATTTAATCAAATACCATTTCACGAATTGCTAATATTTTCTGTCAATCAAAACAGCTAACAGAATCTGCTGTTATGAATCAGTCATCACAATCAACCAACAATCAACGGCTAATTGTCAAACGCTCCCGACTCCCGTAATATTTTTGTGAAAGTACAAAAAAATCCTTACAAAGAAGTTTGAGTATTGTGTGTCTATATTAAAGCGAATTTATTTTTTATGCTGCGTAGAATACAAACAAGTTAACCCTTCAAAACCTTAACAACAATCAAGTTTACTGTTTTGTGAAGTAAAATCTACAGGGAGATCAAATTTGTATTTCATAGTCTCCCATTTGAAATGTAAAACCATTTCCCATTAACAATATTTATCATAAATATTTGTAAATTAACTTGCCATTCCTATTAATTATGCTTATTTCACAGTCTCGAATTCATAGTTATTACTCTAAATTCGAACAAGCTCAATATCTCCATCACCAAATGCATGTACTTCACTTGCGATCCATCCACATTTCACCAAAAGTTCTATAGAGCTACTACTAATCCATAAACAAACGAACTCTTAATTTTTCAATGTTCTATTATTTCAAGTGGCATTATTATTTTTGTGCTTAAAAAACACTTTTCCTTACCTCCTGCAATGCGCGCGCTTTATATATTTAAGGAAAAATCTTCCAAATATCCAATTACATACAAAACATTGTTGGTCCAAAATAGGACGCTCGTAGGCTTTTAGGAAAGCTACGTACGACACTCAAGCAAGAATTAGGAAAGTACGAATATGGAAAGTTAGCCAGAAATAGCATATATGTATTTGAAATTCGAATTGCTTTTTATAGGCGATTACAAATGGTAACTGCCGAACATAATAATGACTAAATTAATTACAACATTAATACGGAATTAAACACATAATTAAGTCGCGCATTGATTGTTGCCCGTTACTCTTCCTGGCTGGCAGGTCAGCCTGGCTGGCAGGCTGGACGCTTGAGCTCCCTCCTGCTGGACTGAACGGTGGGCTTCCCGCTAGGCTGGAGGAAGGCTTCTGACCGGGCTGGAGGCAGGCTCCCGGGTAGGCTGGAAGGCAGGCTCCCGGGTAGGCTGGAAGGCAGGCTTCCCGTTGGGCTGGAGGCAGGCTCCCACCTGGGCTGGACCGCAGGCTCCCAGTTGGGCTGGATCGCAGGCTCCCAGCGGGGCTGGTGGTCGGCAGGCTCCTGGCTAGGCTGGAAGGCAGGCTCCCCACTGGGCTGGAAGGCAGGCTCCCCACTGGGCTGGAAGGCAGGCCCCCCGCTGGGCTGGTCGACAGGCTCTCTTGGGCTTCCGCTCCTTGATTGCCCTGATTGGTTGGGCCGACTCGAGCTCTAGGTTGATGGGCTTGGGCCCGCTGGTCCAAGTTCGGGGCCTGGGCTGATTAGGCTCTGGGCCTGGTCCCATAACCCCATCACGAGTCCCCCACTCCCTTAGTCGAGTAGTAGACTCGGCTAAGAGGGAATAGTTTAAGTCAGCTGCCGATTTAAAAATATTCACATATCAAGGAACCATAATTGTGGATTATGTGAATCCCGGAGTTTATGGAAATTCCCAAATTAAATGAGGCTCCCAAAAATTCCTTTCCTTTTCTTTTCTTTCCTTTCTTTTCTTTCCTTCTTTTTTCTTTCCTTTTCTTTTTTCTTTCCTTTTCTTTTCTTTCCTTCTTTTTTCTTTTCTTTTCTTTCTCTTCTCTCCCCTGGTCTGCGTCCGTCTTCCTCGCGCCGCACCAGCGCCGCAATCAACCAGCTGACTAGCTTGACCGGCGGTTTTCTCCCGGCGGCTCCTGGGTCGACCCCCGCTGCGCTCAATCGCTGCTCCGCACCACCGCCAGTGGCCGACGTCTCCCCTGCAATCCAGCGAATCTGGCCGGCGGGTCTGGACCCCCATGTCCGGCAGACCCAATCCCCTCAGCCGGCGGTCGTTCCACTTCTGGCCGGCATGGTGTCCTCTCAGGCGGACTGGAAGCTCGACGCCCCCCATGTCAGATGGTGACCTTCTCTCAGGCGGCCAGCCCGTCAAATCCTCCGCTGGACGGCATCCCCCGGGCCTTCTTCCCCAACGGCCGGCGTCGCCCAGGAGGCTGGATTGCTCCTGAATTCTGGTGGCTGCCGACGTCGATCACGAGGGTATCGGTCACCCCCTGCCGACCGGCGTAGCCATCCCTCTAGGTGGCTAGGCGTCCGCGTTGGCCGGTGGTTTCCCCGACGTCGTTCTTCTATTAGGTGGTGGCAGCCCACGTCGACCCACGGCTGGCCGGTCATCGTTGGCATGTGGATTGACACTTTGTTACTTCTCTTTTTTTTTGGCAGGTTTACAAGTTTTGATTTTATCTGACCAAAGCTCTTTCATGAGTCTGACAAGGTGAAGGACGCTCAGACAGGCAGCGAGACAATTCCATGCCTCGGCTAGGTCTTCCCAAGTGCTTAAAGAATCATTATGGTGAGAACAACCATGGAGGGGATGGCACTAGAGTCTGGATTCCAAGAGACCTCTTTGAGGTTCCTAGCCGCTCCCGTGATTAGACCATTGGACATGATGGTGCTGGGTCCGCTTGGCTACGACCTTGTATTTTGTATTTCCTTTGTTTCCCACTTGAATATTCTTTTTTGTAGGAAAAGGTTGGAGGCTCCCTTACAACCCATAATTTCCTTTCTGTAGCCTGTAGGTCGGGTGATTGTGCCTTGCTGGTTGTGGTCCGATGCCATCGTCTTGTGTGGGTTGGACGCGCCGGGAACATTGATCGATAATGGTGAAAACCCTACCTCCCAT